ATAAAAATATTTTTAAAAATAAAATATCACTTTAAAACTAGTTTTTTAAACAGTTTTTTATTAATTTTTTCTTTCCGTGCGAGAACATTTACTCGTATGGGTGCACTCGAGCCCTGCCACTAACACATACACTAAATAAAATAACGAATATTCAATTTATAACATATTTTTATTTGATTTAGATGTAATTTGTTATTAAAACATTTTCCGATACCTTGGTGCCTCCGCAATTAATTGAGTATTTACTAAACCATTGTTGCCCCTTAAAATAGTCGTCTTACTAATTATAATGCGGTTCGCAACCAACTTCATGTACAGTATAAGTGATTTGCAAAATATTATTGAATTCATGGTCGGCAGCAGTTATATCAGTCGATGATTTGGTTAAATTTCTATCATTAAATATATTTAAATTACATAATTGAGAGGGAACAGTTATTATGGGCGTACATTGCCAACACTTCTTAGGTAAAATTGGACTACGATTATATTCACGTTATTGATGTTTTATCGAAATAATCAAATAACGTAATTATTTCTGTATGACCTCACATTTGGTACTATTCAATATGAAAACTATAGCGCAATGCACGCCCATAATAACTTTTGCCTCTCAATTTCTAAAACTATCTTAAAGTATCCTGTGACTATTTAAAATATATATATGTATAGTATTTATTATTATCCGCACACGAAGCTGTAGCAGAATAATCAAATAAGTATTTTATTTAACAAATTCTAGTGGATTCAATTATTAAAGGTTTGTTAAATAATTACAATTTATACATACTAGTAAATTAACCTCTTACACCAGTAGTTGAAAATATATTTATTTACAAAAATTAATAATTAAAAATTGAATAATATTTGCGTTCCTTTTCTAATGCTATTAATTTTTGGTCAAAACCTTTCACTTGAGTTTCCTTTTGACCGAAACGAGAGCTATAATTAAGGGTTAAATGACTTATTATTGTTATCAATTATAAATAGTTTAGCATTTTGAGTGTAAAAATTATTTTATATTTTTGATATAAGACATTTTTCGTGAATTCATATGCAATATAATTAACATAATTAAGTAAATCTTGACATATAAATATCTCTCTCTCTCTCTCTCTCTCTCTCTCTCTCTCTCCACCCAAATAATGATATGTTTTGAAGTCTTTTTATTATATAATATTTAAATTATATATTTTTTTGTTTAGTTTACCATTAATTTATTCGTAAAATTATTGGCAATACCTATATACTGTACAGTATATACTCAAAGTGCCTGTAATTTAAATTTTGTTTTCAATTAAATAATCAGTTTTCCCCTATTTTTGAAGGATTAAGTTAATCATTAGTTTTGTCACAAATTGTCTGCAATATAATTTGTGACATTTTCACTGAATTTTTAAAATCACAATTATATATATTAATTTATTTTCAAAAAATGATTACTTAATGGACACACAATAGTTCAATGAAATTGATATCAAAAAAGTTATTTTATATGATTACGAGAATATAATTGTGCCGAAAATGCCTTATGTTTAGCTATTGGTGTGAATGATGGCAACGGATGACAACCCGCGTGAAGACATTTTATACCCGACCGATGAGTTCCTCTTTGAGGCCCACATCTCAAGTCTCGATGAGTACCGCAAACTGTATGTGAAGTCCATCGAAGATCCCGAAGCCTTTTGGATGGATATCGCGAATGAGTTCTATTGGAAGCGATCGCCAAACAAACCATTGGTTTCCTATAACTTCGACGCATCCAAAGGACCCATTCGTGTGAAATGGTTGGACAGCGCCCTCACCAACATGTGCTATAACGTGTTGGACAGGGTTGTCGACAAGGGACTGGGCGATCGAGTTGCCTATTACTGGTTCGCGGAGTTTATCGTATTTTTTTAAATATGTCTAAAGTTTGCTAACTATTCAGGGAATCAAATGATGACAATTCGCACCGAATAGTCACTTACAATGGTTTACTGCGAGATGTCTGTAGGTTCGCGAATGCACTCAAGAGTTTGGGCGTCAAAAAGGGGGACAGAGTTGCCGTCTATATGTCGGTCTCCATAGAGCTGGTGGTTGTCATGCTGTCCTGCGCCCGGATCGGTGCCATTCACACCGTTATTGTACGTGTTTTCGCATTGAAATATAAAAATGTAAAAAATGTCATTTTAGATAATAATCTTTAATGAAGTCTTTGAAAAGCGTGAAATGTCTTGATTTCACTTTCAACGAGATTTATTTTACATGAGTAGGTCAGTGTTGAATAAGCCTTAGAAATACACATTTCATACTGTAATGTTGTCAAACCTAGAAATTTTGTCAAAATTTGCTAAAATTAGTTTGAAGTATGTATTTCTAGGGTTTATTCAGCACCGGCCCATCCATATGTTTTACTAAGACTTATGATAATAATCCGATAGTTCGCCGGATTTTCGGCCCCAGCACTGGCCGACCGTATAATGGATGCCAATTGTATACTATTAGTGACGGCCGACGGCGCCTACAGAGCCAACAAATTCATACCATTGAAGTCTATCGCGGATTCAGCCCTAGAAATATGCAAAAGAATGTAATTATTATGATCAAGCTCCTATTCAATGAATATGATTAACACAAAAAATTATACTAGGAACCATAAAGTGATAGCTACTATCGTGAGCCCACACCTAAAACTGTACACCGCTCACGGTATGGACAATAATGCGACCATTAATTACGACCCAAAAGTGGATATACTGTGGAACGACATTATGAAAAATGTGTCCGATTCGTGTGAACCCGAGTGGATGGAGGCTGAGGACACACTTTTCATACTATACACGAGGTATTTTTAAATAAAGTTTATTTTCTTTTATTTAAATCAAATTAACTCACAATTATCGGACTATATTTCTCCTGGTTTCTAATTTAGTCGAATAAGTCTTGTAATCGTAAAAAATAATATTCTTCAGACTTTAATGAATTTTAAAACACTTTTAGGTGACTTTCAAATAGTCGTATAAAAAATATAATTACAGTCTGACCCGGCAATAAGGTAATTGGGTATAAGGTAAACCACGTGATAAGGTGCATAGGTTTACAGCACCGGCAGCTCCAATGGGTTTGTAATGTTAAAATTCCCCCCCCCCTCCCCCAATATAAGGTACATCAATATACCGTAAATCTTGAGATAACGCACACATAATTTTGACAAAATTGACACCATTGACAAATTTACCCCCGAAATAAGGTAATGTGATGCTCGTCAAAAAGTTAAAACAAGATATTTATTGTTAAAATATTCAGCATAAAAATCTAGAAAAATAGAGCTTAAATCAAAATGACTAAATTAAAATATTTTGTTGTCTCAGTGGAAGTACTGGAAAGCCTAAAGGGATCGTACATACGATCGGCGGTTATTTACTCTACGCATACATAACATTCAAATACGTATTCAATTACACGGACGGAGACGTGT